TTTTTCTCAACGTTACTTTTGTTACTTCTCAATTTTTTTTATTTGTTTCATGGATTACATTCTCTTCATTTCATGCCCATTACAAATGCTTGCCTTTGACCGATAAAAAGTTTGTTTCTAACATCCACGCTGACCAATAGAAATGCGTATTCCCTCCTCACTCCAGAGGAAAGCCTGCCTTCAAACGCAATTTTTTTTTTAAAACAATGCATTTTTTGTCAAAAGAGAATTTTGAAGAGACGGAAATCAAAATGTCAAATCTTTCTATTTGCAAATGCAATAAAAAGAAACTGGGAAATTGTTTAAAAAAGAAAACATTGTTTGAAATATTTGACAAAAATTTATTTAAAAAAAGGAAAATCTGAAAAATTAATAAACTTTTTTAAAAATTGAAATGAAACCTGAGAAAAAAGCAAAGGTACGTTTAAAAACATATTTTTTTCTTAAAATATTGTTCAAATTTCCATTTATAAAACATGTAATATTCACGGAACATAGTTCCAACCGCAAAAGGACGGATGTTTCCAATCCTTAGAATAAACAGAGAGTCCCCCCCTTACTCCAAAACAAAGGGGTAACTTGTGTTAAATGATTGAAACACATTAAAGTTTGTGGTAACCATGACGCCCTCGCGTTACCTTGGTTCTGGACAAAATGCGGCCCTCCGTTCAGCTGGCTCTGGTTGTGGTGGGCTGCATTGGGCTGGCCTGTGACAGACGACGGCCGGCGGAACGGCAGGGATCCCCCGACCTGGGGGTTCTGGGGCTGCTGTGCTGGGCGGTTCATGCTGTAGAACTGAGGAGCACCTGTGAGCGGACAGCAGGGGGCAGCAGAGAGTCAGTCCTCAACGTGTACAACTACTTTATGTCATTTTTAGGCTTACTCTACAGATTGGTTGATCTGTGGAGTTGAATTTAATGTTACAATCAGTTAAACTGATTGTTATGGAGACAGAAATGTAAAATATTCACTGAAAACAAGAAGTAATAAAATAAAATGAGGGACAAAGAAAACACCAGCAGGCATTTTACATCAGAACACAAATGATGAAAAAAAAAAAGAGCTTTGCCGACGTCCAATCAGTCGCAAAAAGCAGCAGGTTCTTCCTCAACAAGCGGACACACCATAACTAAGCTGACAGCAACACTTTAGTGTAGAAGTCTGTACAGAGCAAAGACTGGTCAATGCTGGCAGTTTTAGGTGACAAAGCAGCGTTCAAATTTAAATTTAAAGGAAGCATGGAGGTGTTGGCGGACAATAGTTTCAACAACGTCCACCCTGATGATATATTCAGCCAGGGAGACTTTACAATCTAAATCATCCTTAAAATATCAGCATAAATATGGCTAAAAAACGAAAGACTGAAGGACTTATTATGAATATCCTCTCATACACTGCAAAAAATATCTACAATTAGAAAACATTTCTTAAAATAAGTTTATTTGAACCTTAGTTTGAACACGCAAGTCAAATTACAGGCCTTTTGACCCCTCAAACAAAATATTCATATATTGTGCACATGAAATGCAAAAAAGACGCTCTTTAATCATTTTAACTAGACATGTTTTCTTCCGTTTTTTTTTATCCGATTTGAAATATCGCATTAGAAGAGAGTCAAAACAGCGAAATTCAAAATGACTTGGTAAAGAAAAAGTTTTACGCTTATTTGAGGTTGTTTCTGATTCTTTCGGGACAAAAGAAAATAGAATCGCACTTTCCCCTCAATGTCTCCAGATGACCCTAACCAACGCTAAAGCTACCTAACATGATAAGTACAAAATGCAAAATTTCAACGCATTCTTAAAAACCTCCATTTCTGATTGTGGGTCCATGCTAGCTAACCAACTCTACATGTTGTCATTACAGTTAACCCTAACCCTAATCGCATAACAATTTTACGCTTTGCTTCAATGGATATAAACACAACTAATTTGCATTTTCTTTTTTTTCCCAACATTTTAAGTTCTTTATCATGCTTAGACGGAAACACCGCTAGTGTAAAAAAACCTGGTGCTGAAAACCTATTTAGGCTCAAAAAAGGACTATTTAAACACTATCAGGATGGACGTTTGGTGGATATAAGTTATTTATTTATTGTTTTTCTTTATAGATGAAATAGTTTTTTTTTTTTTTATAAAAGAATAAAACGTGACCGTGCCTCTTTAACAAACTGTTTAATACAGCTTCTCTACAAGATCGGTCACAACACTATGATCGTCGCAAATCTCTGTATCTCAAAAAAAGAAAAGAAAAAAAGACGTAGAGCAACATGTGGAAACAAATCTTCAGGTTTTAAGCTTTGAGGGGAGGAGTGATGGAGGCTGGAAACGTGCATGATTGGAGGAGGGGGGTGGGGGTCGCACTCACCTTGTGCGGGGTTGCCATAAGAAGCAGGGCCGGTGTTTGTGGGGGCCATGGAGGCAGGGAGCTGAGGAGGGGGTGGGGGGACAGGTGGAATCTCAACGGTGGGGTTAGGGGCTTGTTGGGGGCCGTCTAGGACAGGAGGAGGCGGCCCAGGGGTGGTGGCAGTGTTAGGGGGAGATTTGGCTGTGTTGGGTGGGGGAGGGGCTGAACCTGATGGGTGGGAGGGGGTGTTAAAGGTCAGGAAGAAGGAAAAGAAAAGAGGCGAGGAAAGATCAGAATGAGACGAGAAAGAACAGCAGAACCGGTGCGATCCAGATTAGTCCAGTTAGTGTCAGGCCAAACGATGACAGAGGGAAAAAAAAAAGGACAATAAAATTAAAATAATAAGTTACCTGGGAATACTGTGGGCGGGGCTGGCGTCGGCACGGCGATAGGCACACCCACGCTTCCGCTGCCGCTGTTCTCCCTGCTGCTGCTGCGACTGCTGCTGGGATGGCTTCCCCCGCTGCTCCCACTGCTGGTGACGGGGCGGCAAGACACGTCAGACAGCAAAAACAACCCAATATGGCGTCCTTTATACCAGAAGGTAGTCCTGGTTCCGGACTACCTTCTAACATGAGGAACCACAGGAAGCTAACCGGCATTTGTTTAAAAGTACTCTAATAATTCGTATCTAATCTCACCAACAGCCGTCTGGTGATGATAAGAATGAAAGGATCCAAATAACTTCTCTAAATACAAACATAGCGGATAATAAAATGCTAACCTTGCATTCTAAAAACAGAATTTTTTTTTTTTTTTTATGCGACACCTTCAAGAAGCACCAATGTGTTAGCGTGACTTTCTGAAATGACTACGACAGGGATTAAACAGAAACAACACAGCCAGAGGCCTGAAGAAGGACAGATAACACAGGTATGAAGAGAAATCTGTTCCAATATTTGTCTAAGCAAAAAGCTTATTGCAAAAATGGAATTTGAGGGAAAAAAGCATTTAAAAATAGGAACTTCTTATTAAACTTTACAAAAAAAAAGGTTTCGAGAGTAATTTTAATGTGTTTGCCAAATTTTTTTTACAGATTTTAATTTTTTTTCCCATTTCTTTTTGGGAACTGAAAAAAGATGGACAGAGAGCCTATGCACACAAAATCTCAAAAAAAAAAAAAAAAAAAAAAAAA